TTAGCTGTCAATTGCCATTAACATTAATTTCAAGTACATTTTTCATTGCTCGGCAGTTTGCTTCTTCATAGTTTAGGGAGATCATGGTACCGAAACCACGACAAGTAGCCAGCCCGGAATATCTCATCTTACCTGGCTATTATTCATCACAAGACAAGACTGCCTCTGCACCTACAAACAGCTAGGAAACCAATTCACAGCTTAGTGCAGGAATCTTAATCCATGCCCACAACTGAAATCAAGAACAGAGACTTCACACAATTGAAATTGCAGATTGACAACGTTTACTTGATACGGCAAGACAGGAAACGCAACAGTTTAATAGGTGGTAAGAGACAGACTACTACCTGTTTAATTGAGAGATGCACAGGAGAATCCATGTTGAACAAGTTCATTGACAGCATCTCTGAACTTGTAGTAATCATCAACTTTGTTGTAAACTTGATGAGAAATTCGAGCATAGCCGGTGATAGGACCAACCTCCCCATCCTTAGGAGGTCGAAAGTAAATGGGAACTTCAATCTCATATTTATCCCTCAAGTGGGTTCTTAATTTCAAAGTATCTGACTCGCTAGCAATTCCCAAGCAAGCAGGCAACCCAACCATGACCATACTGGCACACATTTCCGGAGGGCAGCCCAGATGGGTTCCCCAAGCTTTGGCTAACATCTGCCCCATCTCTACCACGGCATCATGATTCCTCTTCTTGATCCCCTCAATTCCACCTTCAAATCTATTCACGAACTCCAATACCCAAGGAACTACCAATTGGGCACTATAATCTCTAGTCCCAATCCAAGCACTCTCTACCGCCAACCCATTTCCATATTCATCGGATACCACCGGATGATGCAAATCCAAACTCTTTTCCGTTTTTCTACAGTACAAAAACGCTACAGAAGGTGGACAGAAGAACCATTTATGCAAATTACTAGTGTAGAAATCAGCCCCGATCTCCTTCATATCAACATCTACACACCCAATACCATGAGCAGCATCTACAAAAACCTGGTCAACACCCTCCTCCCTGCAAATCTTAACCAGGGTTTTAAGGGGGATGACCACACTAGGCATGGAAGTAACATGGTCAATCACCGCTAACCTAACCTTCCTACCACTAGTCTTGCCTTTCTCAAGGGCCCTTTTGAACTGAAACACGATTTCATCAGGGGAAGCAACAGGGAAAGGTAGCTGGACCTCAATCACGTAGCCGCCAGCACGCGTAACATAGGCATCTATGGATTTTTTGACAGCGCCGTACGCGTAGTGCAGCATAACCGCGGCGTCCCCTTTCTGGAACTTACCTTCGGCGAAGGCCCAGGCGATCTGCTGGAGGACGATAGCTGCAGCGGTGGTGGCATTATCGACGATCGAGATCTCGTCGACGTGATCGGCGTTGACGAGGTTCTTGATGGTATTCCTGGAATCCAAGATAGCAGGCTTGAGTTGGGTGAGGAAGAAGTGGTCGGGTTGGCGTAGGAAGCGAAGCTGCCATTCTTGCTGCAAGGAAAGTATGGAGGAGGGACAGGAACCAAAGCTTCCGTTGTTGATGCGAGCGACGGTGGGGTGGTGGTGGGAGAATTCAGATTGGATTTCAGATTGGGTGATGAAGGATTTGGAAAGTTTGGGCTTTTTGGAGATGTGGGTGCCATTGTTGGTGGTTGTGTGGAGGTGGTTGTCATGATTATGGTTTTGGGGGGAGGGAGAGGCCATGGCGAATTGGGGGAGGCGGTGATAGTTTCAGGGTGTGGAGGAGGAAGAGAAGGTGTCGGGGGGGGGGGGGGGGGAAGAGAGAGAGAAAAGGAGATAATGGATGATGACGTGTGAATTGGCTATTAAGAATGATAGGAGAAAAAATGGGCTACAAAGTAGTTAATGGGTAAAATAGTGATGTGAATAATAAATAAAAATTAAAGAATAATTGTTTAAGAGTAATTAAATTTAATTTACTTTAAAATTATAATTGAGTTGGTGGTGGTACCGAACACAAAAGTAGAAGGGATGCGCATGTGTTAAATGAGAGAAGCAAACTTACCCACTTTCTGTATTTCTATTTCTTTTCTCAATTTCTATCATGTATTAATTATATTTCTTTGATTGAGTAGTGGTGGAATCTTCAGCTTTCCATCACCCCCATGAAATATTTGTAACGGACAAAAAAAATTGCAAGGATTTTGAAATATATATATATATACACATTCAAAACCACCCTGGAGGGGGTCCAATAATGTTTTAAAAATAACATTAATTTACCAGTTCAAACTAAATGTTGAACACTAATCATTCCCACTACCACTACTAATGGAACTGGCACTGAGGGAGAATATAAAATAACATGGAGGAATTGCAACGATGATGATTATATTAGTGAAAGGGTAGATTCTGAACAAATCAAGCAGCTTCAGCAAAGCCAATCTCCATATTAGCAAAGTCAAAGACGGTGTGATATACTCCCATGAATACATCTCCAAGAATCCTGCATGCGCCACCACATCAGTCTAAAAACTTAAAACCTTAAAACATTTCCATATAATTTCAGGCATATACCACAGAGGAGTAGTAGGAGTAGGCTCTCTTGGGACAGGCAGATCGAGTGCCGAAAACCCACTTACGCACACTCTATCCATGCCTCCTCCAGTCGTTACGATATACTGATCCATCAGAGCAATTAAAAATAACAAGTATATATGAGAAAAAAAAAAAAACAATGGGCAGAATTGTTATATATATATATATATATATATATATATATATATATATATATATATGCACGTAGAGTAAAACCTGGTGGGGAGTGAGTGTAAAAGGCTTATCTGCAATCGTGAATGTAATGATTGGCATGGAAGAGATTTTATTGCAGTCAACTGTTGATTCCCCTGAAGGACTGGGTAGGCTTTCACACAGCTGATTAAGTTTAGTGAATGAGATATAAGTGTAGGTGGTATATATGTAAAGCATGTTGATGATGATGAAAGATGATCCACTCACCTGAGTCACGTAGTGTAACACTTTGTCTTTAGTTTTCTTTTGGTTGAGTTGATTCTGAACCCAAATTACAGTCATCTCGCAGGCAGTGCAGAGACCAGCATCCCCAGCTTCTGCTTCTTTTTCCTTCTTAACCACCCTTTTAATCACATTCCTGAACCAACAAACTTCATAACTCTTATTGAAATCTTTACATAATTGTCAATAAATTAAATTAAACAAATAAAACTTGCTCACCTCTCGTAGTACTTGAAAATGCACAAACCAAGCTGTGAACATACTTGCCCAGGTTGAGCCTGTACGTGAAAGATAAATATATGTGCATATATATACATAGCAGGTACTACTCAGATCTCAAATTTAAGATGACACAAATTCAATATTCAAAATTCATGGAAACACACACCCCTGATACTAAAAGATCCCATATTAAATTTCCATATTCTGAAACAACTTGCTTGCATTCTGAGCTGATCACGCCTTCAGCTCCAATGGCATGGTTGATTTCAGCCACAACGGCCTGAAAAGTGAAAAAACTCCCAAAATTTACTTCAATTTCCAATAAATACCAAACAAAGATTTCGAGGCTCGGTTCCTACAGTCGGTCCAGCCACCAAGGAAGTTCCAGAATCCACAATGGCAGCGCACCCATCTTTACAAACGCCTGTTGAATTCTTTCCGATAAGAACATCTCCCATGTTGAACTGAAGAATAGGGAAGCATAAACACATGAATGAATGATTGGAAATTTTTTTGCTAATTAAAGGAAATCTTGTGGGGTATTACGTACCTCCCAGTAACCTTTTTTAGTTACTGGAACATAAGTATGCTTTCCCTTGTATTGTTTTTCGTCAATGCCACCAAATACAATCTCACCTCCCTCTTCTGCATCTGGGTCCCTGTTGAGCCAGATTGAGAATACTTCTTCACTTACTAGCTTCTGCCCCATCAAGTTATACCTGTTGCGTGTTGGACTCATCAATTCAAACAAAATCAAATATATCTTCAGAGTTAAAGTATATCAGAAATCAACATCATATACATATATGTATGTATGTATACCACAATGGCACAACATTCCCAACAGACATCTCTTGAAACCCAAGTCCGAGAATTCCATCAAACTTTGCCAGTAGAAAACCAACACTTCCTTCACGGGTTGCCTCCATGAAAACCTGTTTGTGTTCAATTCAAACCCATCTACTCCATCATATGTAATATTGATTACATCAACTATATATTACTCACTCACTTGATCTTTCACAATAACATTCCCAACTTCAACATTGTCTGCACTCAAGAAACCCGAAATGGATCCAGAGCCATAATTTATTTCGCAAGATTTTCCTGAAATCACAACCCAATATAATACACCAAACCTTAAAAACAAATGCTAATGCTGGAGGACCTAATAGTAGATAATTAAAGACCACCAACATATTAATTAATTAGTAATTACCGATCTTGGTATATGTGGTGGATTTGGTTGACCTGTATCTGGAATGGAAGTAGCAGGCTATCTGAGAGATTAGTTCATGTTTTAGGAGGATGTGAGGATATGATGTTTGTAGGATAGGATGATTAATATATATATATATATATATATGTATATAAGAGTAGAGTACTCACAGAAAAGTAGCACTTTGAAGAAGGAATCCAGAGATTGGAGCTGCCTGTGTCAAATACTACAGTGAAGTTCTGGGGAGGCGAACCAATGCCAATCACTCCATAGTATTGAGCGTCTAAGTAGTTTTTGAGCGGCAGTATATCTCCATCTGAATCACCCAAATCACTTATTTCTGTTCTGGCAGCTCTAATGGCATGCAAATCAAGACGTTGCTTCTTCAGACCAATTCTCAGTATGCGAGTAGAGGAAGCAGCGGGAAGAAGAAAGCATGCCAAGACCCACAAGCGGAAAACCTCTGGAAGAAGTTTGTGGCCCATATTTAGGGAAACCCAACTGGGAAAGATGATGGAGAAACAACAATCAACAGCAAGACATGCATTCATTTGATGAAAATTGAAGTATTAAAGAGAAAAAATGAAACGGCAGCAGGCAGCGGCATGGTAAACCAAGTAATTAAGGAGACGATGTTGATCATATCACAAGCATGTCCATGAAGTAAGAAACTGGACATAGAAGCATATATATATATATATATATACATATATGTATGATGATGAAAATAAATAAATAGAAAAGAGAAAAAGATATATACATGGTGTTGAATTAATTGATGGAAGAAGATGTTAGAGCGATGAAGGAGTAGTTTGTATAAATAATTAATTAGAAGAGATACGACAAGTGAAGGAGCGTAAAGTAATAGAAGGTTTCATTTCGTTTTATTGGAGAATCTGTGCATGGCGATGGATCCAGTCGTACGAATGGGTTGGTGATGATTTAAGCTGAAATCACCCGGAAATTTCCTCACTACTGTCTCTTATTATCTCTACTCTACTCTACTCCACACCACACCTTCAGTTCGTATCATCTTACATATATGTGTGTATATGTATATATATACATATATACACACGTACATTAACAAATGTCCCTCTTCATATGCGGACGTACTATTAGTCATTTCCTCCAAGCAGGGATCAGGATAGAAGACGAGAAAAAAACTATTATTCAATTATTTTTTATAGATTATCCTAAAACGACATCATGTTAAATCGAAGTAACAAATTGCAAAGGAAGGCCCAACACCAAAAGAAACGACGTCGAATTGATGGATGGAAATGGGCCGATGAGAAGTAAAAAACCCAAAACTAAAAATTTCATTTTAAGATAAAGTGTTTGTATGAGTTTTGAGCAACCATAACCAGAAACTCAAAATTAATTATTTATTAACAACTTAATATTTGACCCACCAACTTAATGTTATGAACGTTTTATAGGATATTATTCATAAATTTTAAAATTATTATTATTATTTTTAAACATAATCAAATAAATATCAGCAATTGACAGGGATTGGAAAAGAAAATTCTTATGAACAGGTTCTTAAATTTAATGTTTTGATTTTTAAGGAAAAAAATTATTAACATTGTCATCTATTACACACTCTCATATATATATATATATATATATATATATACTATATATTCCATTTCCCAAAACTTTTTAGCATATAGTTTTTCTAACATTATTTGGTATATACATCTTTAATTCAATGTTGCGGTCTTTTAAAATTCCCAATTTTTGTGCATTCAAAAAATCACTCTGAAGGCTATTCTCGTAAATAATTTTCGTATGAAATATTTTATTATATTTTAATTCATCATGTCTATTCACTAAGAAAGTATGGTTATTGTAATTCTTTGGCTGTAACTAGGAGGGTGGTGCGTATGTGATAGTAAACCGTACCAATTTGTGCTTTCTAATTCCAAATTAACCATCAAAATGTTCGCCTTTGCTTTAATTTCCAATACTGGGTTATGAAAAATACTCACCCTTCGTTGAGTTCTAATGATTACAGCTAGCACAGAATTCCCTCCCTCCTAAAAATATATGTATATGTATATATATATGTGTGTGTGTGCGTGTGTGTATTTTATTATTAAAATATAAAATATCTACAAAAGAGAATCATTCTAGAAATTAAGAATTTGATTTAATGTAGAGTTATAAAGTTAATCTTCATTCATAGCTAAAAACAGATCGCTAATCAATTAAGCATTTGGTTTAAGTAAAACCTTATCAAATTAATTATCGATCGTTTTCACCTTTTGATGAGAGGAGGAAATCCGAGGCGCCACAAAAATCTTGCAGAATATATATATATATATATATATATAAATTAAAGGGCTTCACCTTATGCCTTATTTTATTATTTGTTTCCAGTACTTGATGTAAAATTCCTGAGAAAGTTAAAAAGTAATAATAATAATAATAATAATTAATTAATTAATCATTGTAATTGATTACAGCTAGAAACTTGAAGAAGAAGAAGAAGATGTGGGTATGAAGATTGAATTGAACGAAGGATTATTTATCGTAATATATAAAATTGATATTATATTAGGGCTTGAATAACTTAAAGCCTAGGCAACTCCTCCTATGTGTAACTAAAAAATGAGTGTGCTTCAGTTGAGATTATTCAATCGTGTTTCCAAATAAAAAATAAAAAATTAGATTGCAGATCTTTCTATATCTTCAATAATTCTATCTGCTTTTGATTTTATTTATTTATTTCCTTTCTTTCTTTTAGAGAACATTAAACCTAACCAACCAGAACCAGTGCAGTGCATTCATGCACCAACCAAGTTATTTCACAGACTAAAAATCACCTTTCAGGGACGAAATGAAATAAATTTATATTGAATTTGAAAAAGGCAATGGGTAGTAGCGTAATTGTATTTGACGTGTGGATGGAAAAGATGGAAGCATTGAGGGATCCATTGGTTTTGGTTGTGGGAAAATTAGAAAGTGGGAATTAGGTGGATGTTGAATTGAATGATGGGTATTTTTTACAAGAATGAATATGGCAAGCGAAGGTGGTGAGGAAGATACATACACACACATACGTATATACACTGTCAAAAATAAATAATTAAATAATTAAAAGAAAAAAGAAATAAAAGGAAAGTGGCAGGAAAAAGATAGGAAATGCCTAACCGATGCTTTTTTTTTTTTAAATTATTATTTTAAAATTATAAATCATAATTTTTAAAGACTTACCCCCAACCAACAAAAGGACGAAGCATAAAACATGTGCTTTGCCTATGGTTTTACCAACAAGCATCGTGACAAATATTTAACTAATTAATTAACTCTTCCCCCCCCCCCCCCCCCATCAATCTCTCTCCCTACACGTGGCACCATCTTCCTCCCTCTGTTTTCCCTATAAGTACCTCCCACCTGTCTGCATGCATACTGCAACACCTTCGTTCTCAGTTTTCTTCTTCAAACACAAGACGATATATAATTAAAGATTAATTAATGGGTGGCAACAGGCAGAAGAAGTCCTCTAGTAGCTTCTCCATCTTTGGGTTGTTCAAGTCGAGGAGGTCTCATCGCAGAGGAGGAGATGATCAGACCTTCGTGGATGATACGAGGAAAGTGTGGCCTAGTGATGAAGACAAGCGTAACTGGGTTGCAGAGCCTGGTATCGACAGAAAAGCTTCTGCTTTCATCGCCAAGTTCCATGCCACCCGCGTCTCAGAATCCGAGCTCCAGTTTGCTCCTAATTACCCTCCTCATCAAAATCCCTGATTCATCTTCTCATTTCTTCTTAATTTCTTAATCTCTCTCGCTCCTGTAATCGTCTATTTATAATCAAGTATATTCCTTGTTCATAATCTAATTCTCAATTCTCTCTCTTTTTCTACTACTCTTCTCAATTCATTTAATTAACCATCATCTGTGTAATAATTTCTGCTTTAATTCTCCAGTTTATGCTAATCGTATTATATTACCATTTCAGAACTTAATATATGTATATAATTTTATTTCCCCCCCCCCCCCCCCTCTTTATCTCTTTAATAATATAGCACCTCTAACTATCCGTTTGTCATTGACTAAGCTACCTTTTCCTTGATGCATTGATCGAGAACCATACATGTTAATTAATTACTATTAATGTGTTTATATGGATGTGTATATATATAACTTTATGTACAATATTCCGAGTGTTTTGAGTGATACAGCTGAACTAACGTTAAGTAACCCTAAAATTGTCTCTTCATCCACTCCATACTTATCTCGAGGGACTCTGTTAGAATAATTGACCTCGTAGTGCTGGGGAAATTGCCACCCCCCTTTTTTTTTTTTCTTCAATTTGTACTAATCAATGTGCTCCCTCAAAATAATCCATCTTTAAAAAGTTGTTGACTCCAAATAATCAGTCTACTGCGCATGTTCCTCATTAATGGGAACTGATGCCATCTCTCCCTTAATGATTGGGCTGAAGGCCCAATAGTGCGGATTCTAGAATCTTTACTTCATTACCAACCCACCTAACAAAAATCAATTCACTTAAATTAGTTCCATCTGATTGTATATATTTAAGTATGAAATATCTACATATTATATCCTTCTTCTTGCATACTATTAGAGTATTTGCTATTTATAGGTTTAAAAACTATTTATTTCAATTTTTTTCATACCCTAAACACGACAGTTGTATCGTATAATTTCATTCGTCATCATTAGAGATTCTTTAAGATATTTGAGTTATTTAAAATATTATATTTAAATTTCACAACACAAATCCATTAATTTTATGAAAAAATAATTTAAAGTTTTAAAAAGAAATATATATGTTTGTGTATAATTTTGATCGACCGTAATTATAATATCTTAATATCACATTATAAACTAATAATAACACAAACTTAAATTTTTAAAAGTCAATATAATTAAGCAGAAAGTTGTTAGGCTAGTACTTGAACTCGAAAAAATAAAATACCATAATTTTATAAATTAACAAGGGATCTAGTGACTTTAAAATCTGACTACAGTCAGTATTTATGATATCTAAGAAATTAAAATTACTTCTTGTTATGTGTTTTTATTTCTTATAATTACTATATCAAATCTAAACAATAGTATTTTTTTAAACCTAAATTTTTAAGATATATATATTTTTTGTCCTCTCATGAAAATTAATTAATCGTAATATATATGCGTATATATATCATAACTAAGATTTTGTGGTATTAAAATATTATAGGAGTGGGTAATTAGTAATTATGTTTTGCACGGAAAATTTCCAACTCTTACAAATTAAAGTTTGCATGAGGAGCAGATTAATTAAAAACCAATGGCGGGGCGAGTGTGTGTTGTCTCGTCCAGTTGAATGTATGCATAGACGTAATAAAGAAGGTAGCGATGGAGGGAACACATGTTAAGCTGGGTACTGAGATGTTTGCATAAGTGTGTGGAAGGGTGAGCATCTGAATTTATATGATGTATGTAAATATCAATAGAAAGAAAAATATGAGTAAGAAAGACACATTTTGATGGTCGTGTCGTATCATGTCATGTAATGTGCCGCCTTTAAAACCTCTGATGAATTTGAACCCACCAACCCCAGCCTCTTTTTGTACTCCACTATCAAATTCTCTTCCTTTCCCTACTTTTAACCGCCATCTGCATAATATATGTATGTGTGTGTGTGTGTATGTATATATATGCTTAATTAATTATACATACTTAATTTCTGTCCATCGCCAATGCGTACAACAACATGCTCAGATTCTATCTTCTCAGTCTTTAGACATTTCATGTCCATCTACACCACCTTTTTTTACCAATAACTTGTCTTTTCCATTCACTACAACCAACAATATTGCTTACCAATCACCACTTTTCTTTCTCTTTCTCTTTCTCTCTTTCTCTTTTCCCACCCACTCGCAATCTTAACTCTTAATAATCATTCATCTATAGCATATACATAATTATTTATATATTGATTAGTTCAGATCAAAACCATTGTAATTAAACTTAATTACCTATCTAATTGTTTAATGGATCCTTTGCTACGTTAACCTTCTTTCATTCGGTATAGATATGGGAATTAATTATTTCAAATTGTATACTATACATATGGTGTTATGCACTAAAATATTGTGTGTGTGTATATATATTTTCTTCTAGATAGAATTAAAGATTCAAGTCAAAGATTCTGCATCCAGTATTCAATGTTCAAAAAAGTGAGCTAGAAATATATATATAAATATATACTGCCTGCCTAACTCAAACTTTTAGGGAGATTCATTTTTGAATGCACAATGTGCATGTGGAAGTCAAGCCCACCATCTGATGAACAGGTTATAGAAATCTTTATTTTTATATATACAATAATTAGCCACAAGCAAAGAACCCGATTCATAAACACTTCCTTGATTACCATCACCGTACCACAAATATATACACGTATCTTTTCTTTTGACTCACTTTATATACACACACATATCAACTGCTCTGCAGCTTATTATAATTATTTGCATACATTTCATATTTAATCCTGTCTTTGTTTGTATACTCCTCTAATCTGTACATACTAATAATTCGTTTTCAAATCACAACAAAAGTTAAGAATAACCAAAGCATCACCCAGTATCTCCTTCGATCTTCGCAAGGCTTGCAAATCAAAATTAATAATACACATATACACATACATACAAGAACATATTACATTTCATTCATTATATCTATATATTTAATTTATATATCTTGTCAATTTCAGAATAAAATCTATATATAATTTATCTTTTTACAATTGATCACTATATTAAGATATTATACAAGTAAATAAAAAAAAAGTTAAATATATACTTTAATAACTTTATAATACTCCTGTAACCTCAACTACTGTCAATATTTTTCATTGTCTTTTCTTCAAAAAAAAAAAAAAAAAAACTTCATGTATTAGATCATGGTCGCAAGCCCCATGCCACATTAAGCCACCGGCTTCATGCACCTGCTTCAACCATAGGTGATTCTGAATATCTCTTCGTACTCTTAGGCACAAGTGTAGTAAAACAAAAACAATGACCGTATTCAACATGCTCATTAATTTAACCCTTACATTAACTTCAACTATCTCTTGTATGAAAAAATAAGAATTTAAAAATTGTCAAATTGAGCATCATATAATAACATAAATCATAAAAATGAATAAATAGGTGGTGATATGTAGAGTACTACCAAACCATCTCTCATTGTAAATGAAACATTTGTTCTAAAGCTTTAAACTAATAGGAAATAATTTAATCAACTATTTATATTTTAATACATCTCTTAAATATAAATCTACTAGGTTGTAAGTATAAATCATACATAGATCTAATAAATACTATGTAAATTATATTTTTAATACAATTATGGTTATCATAGTCACATTTTGATACAACTTCTCCCTCATCCTCTTCAAGAATCAATCCAACCATGTTTCCATTTCCTCTTCCTCCGCAATGCTCTCCCAAACCATCTCTCATTGTTTACTTATTTATTTATTTTTATCAAACTCACCTCTATTTATCATTTTTTACGAAAAACACAATTTATTCATGTATTAAACTACCAAAATTCTTCTAGATATATTAACCACTCTAATACCATGTTAGCTTGTGAGAATAGAAGTTGTATTTTATTACTGAGATACCAGTATTTATAGGAATATTTATATAGGTTTACGAAGAAAAAATTAAATACATATTCACACCATACATACATAAGAAATTCTAAAATAATAAATGAGATAAAGATTTATATTGTTAGTATTTTATGCTCAATAAATTGTTGTATTGTGTATTTGCTAGTGCT